ACACCTGCAAGAGGGTGGTCAGAGGAAATGCACTTCCTCCCTGTGTGCTGGGCATGTCCAGACCTTTGCCAACAGCTCAGGAGGTAAGAGAGAGAAGCTCAGCTCCTGAGATGAGTGTGGGTCCTGGGAGGGAGGGGCTCTGGAGTTGAGAGCTGGGCGCCAGGGCTCTGCTGTCCCCACTGCCTCCCGTTCTCTCCACAAACGTGGCATTGACCATGATTACTGATGCCACATAAGGTGCCAGCCTCATCTCAGGACGCCCTCAGTGGAGGCCTCAAGTTCCAGACTCCTCTGGCTCTGGCTACCTAGACACTGTCTAACCACTGCCACCAACCCTCTGCATTGCAGACCCTTGTGGAGCCCATTTGTGGTGCGACCATCTGTACTGCACAGACCCCACATGTCAACCCTGGTCCCATGGGTCTGTCTCTTGTTCCTGCCACAGATCTGGGGCAATAGCAAGGATGGTGGGAGGACAGGAGGAGTGGCAGAGGCAGAGGGAAGGTCACTTCCTAAACCCACCCATGACCCTTGGAAGTGTGTACTGGTTATAACCAGGGTCAGAACCCCTTATCCAAATGCCAGGAGACCAAAAACATCTTGGGTTTGGGACTTGTTTAGAGTTAGGAATACAAGCAGATGCATGGGAAAGTAACATGGCCTGTGGGTCTGTGTATGAGTTTGGCTGGCATTTCCTACACACCTGCACACCTGCACACAGTTCTCAGGGCAACTGGGTTGTGACTGGAGCCCATCAACACCTGCCGCGGTGTCGCATTGGCATTTGGAAAGGACTGGTTTGGGGGCACTGCAGAGTTATGAGCCCCAATTGAGGGATTTTTACCCTGTACTCATCTGACCAGAAGTGAGGAGCTCAGTGAGGCACCTTACCGGATGCAGCCTCCTTCAGGCGAAGCAGCTCAGTCAGCAGGCGCACCGACTGCTGCTGGAACCTGTGCAGCACCTCCTGCCCTGCAGGTGCCTGGCGGGCAGGTGTCACTGAGTTCCGGGCTGCCCTGGTGATGGTGGGCCCTGTAGGCGCTAGTTTTGTAGGCTGAGGCAGCTTTGTTTGGGTCAGCACTGTGGTGGACTCCGCTTGTACCACCAGTGGGGCTCCGAAGCTGACCTCTGGGCCTGGGATGCTGGACCCAGTGGGTACCACGGCATCAGCAATGAGCTCTGCCCATGTAAACTCGAAGATGTTTATAATGCCTTTGGGCATAGCAACGCCTGAGTGGCGGCAGAGGGTGAGGAGCTTAGAGATGTGAGCCAGCAGCTCAGGAGCTGTGGCCCGGTACTGGATGTAGAGTTCCCGGTTACTCTTGATGTCGCCCATGCTGCCCGAGCACATGTGTTGCTAGGTGGCACTGACCATCTTGGAGGACAGGGACCAAGCTATGAGACTCAGTGTGTCCTGAGAGATGACAGACGGAGTTCTTATCTATGGAGAGGCTGTGGAGGACGACAGAGTGGCCATGCTGGGATGGCCCTCCTGGGTTGTGGAATGGGGGCTTCCTACCTCGGAGGCAACAAAGTCACTATGGCTGTCCCTAGCAGGGTGAGGGATGCTCCCTCCCTGGTGTTCCCAGAGACACCAATACTTGTGAGCCACACCAGGAAGGGCCTGGAGCCGGACAGAGACCCAGGGGAGCTCCGGAACAGCCACCCAACTAAGCACCTGCAGCAGAAGGCCAGGGAGGGCGGCTCTACTCGTCCTTCTCTACTTAGAGCACCAAGGGTGGGAGGGCTGGCCGCGGTCCATGGGCGAGAGACAAGCCTGCAGAGACAAGAAGCGAGTCATGGGCTCTCTGCTGACAGGTGACAGGGGTGCGGGATGGGGACAAGCCACCCAACATATGCAGCCAGAGCCCACAGGAGGGACAGCATGAGTCAGGTCATGACTGGAGGAAGTGGCCACTTTCACCAAAGCCAAGACATTGCTGATGGAACCACACACCATCTCACTAGGAAGAGATAGAGGAGTGTGCAACGGATCCTTCGATGGTGTGGCTAATCACAATTTCAGGGAAGTTAAAGCAGGAAAACTGCATGCCTTAAAGCAAAGGACTGTGACAAACATGTTCCCCACTTCAACCGAATTGCTTGTGAGCTCCTACATCAAGTGGGTGTTTGAAGCAGAAAGTTTGTAGACAGACTTATAAAATATGTTGGTAAAAATGTAAAGGTACCTTTTAACCTCAGGCTAGGAAAAGGCTGGCTTACTCCTGGTGAGAATGCAGGAAGCACAGCGAGGTGGGGCTCATGCCAGCACACTGACCAGCGTCTCCACACAGTGTCCTTGGCCCGCAGGACCGAGGGCTGGTTTGCTGTGACAGCAGCCGTCAGCCTTGGGTGCAGGCATCAGGGCACCTTTAGGCCACCTTTGTGTCTCTTCACTGCCTTCCATCCTCACCATCCTTTGCCTGGCTGTCCCTCTCTTTCCCCAGCCACCAGTCCCCACACCAGGCAGCTCACCTGGCACATGTAGATGGTATCTACAGAGCAGAGTCACAGCCACAGCCTGTATCTCCCTTGGTAGAGGGCAACCTCTAGGAATCCTCTGATTTGCTGCTATTCTATAGATTAAGTGGCTTCCAAGTGGCTAGTGGCTCCAAAGATGACATCCAGGCAGCTAGTCTGAAGGATCTGACGCTGGCGTGCAGGGCAGAGCTAGCTAGCTTGCTTGCTTCCTTGCTTCCGTCCTTCCTTATTTCCTTCCATCTTTCCTCTTTCCCTCCTTTCCTTTCTCTCTCCCTTCTCTCCCTCCCTCGCGCCTTCCCTCTGTCCCTTCTTCCCTGCTTCCCTCTGTTCCTTCTTCCTTCCTTCCCCTCCTTCCTTCCTTCTCTCCTTTCCAAGTCAGGACTCAAACAAAGAGAAGATGAAAATGATACAGCCCTTGAAAACCCTTGTTGGGAAGTTGTCCTCTCCTCCCCATGGAGCCTTTTCCTTGTGGGGCTGATTATGAAACACAACTCACCGACACACAAAGATGATGTTGAACACAG